TCCTTCCTTCCTTCCTTCCTTCCTTCCTTCCTTCCTTCCTTCCTTCCTTCCTTCCCTCTCTCGCCTTCTTTCCTTCTGCTCATCTCTTCCTTCCTTCCTCTCATTCTCTCTCCATCCTACCTACCTACCTTCTTTCTTCTAGCCCCACCGTCTCCCCAGCCCAGACCTTTCCTCCCAAGCCCCAGCCGGGCTCCGGCGGCACTTACGTGGTAGGCGACGGGAAGGGCCCTTCGGCGGAGAGGTTCATCACCAAAGACTGGCAAAGGGTCAGGCTGAAGAAGAACCACCAGCTCGCAGCCATCTTCCCGGGCGAAGATCGAGGGCCCCCTCCCCACCGAACACCCCCGGCCCCCTCCCCCCAAAAAAGACAGAAAGGACAAGGGGAGGAGGGGAGGAGGAGGACCACAAAAAGAAGAAGAAGAACCCAAGTGATGGAGCCCGCGAGGGAGGGAGGGAGGGAAGCAGGAGAAAGTTGGCAGGCGGAGAAGCGAGCGACTGAGCCCAGCCGGGCAAGGGGATAGCCTGCCCCGCTCGCTCTCCTTCCTCCGCGGAGCTTCTCGGCAGCTCAGGCGGCTGCGAGGGGGAGAGAGAAGCCGCGAGGCTGCGGAGGGCAGGAGGAGGCAGCGAGGCGGGCAGAAGCGACCGAGCCCAGGCGGTCACATCAGCGGCGGCTCTTCTGCCGGCGCTGCTCCTTGGCCGCCTCTGCCACTGCCGCCATCCGAGCCGGCTCGGGCGAAGCGGTGCCGGCGGCTTTCCGGGGGCAGCGGGGGCCGCGCCGAGCCTTTGCCGGCTTTATTCCCCGCTTGGGAGGCAGGAGGGAGGAGGAGGAGGAGGAGGGAGGGAGGGTGGAGCGAGGAAGGAGGAGGAGGAGGGCTCCGTCTGGGCTTCCCGCGGATTGGAAGAGCGCCTCGGATCCGAGCGAGGCGAGGCGAGGCGACTCAGCCCACCCGGGAGCCCGGCCGCCCCCGCCGCCTCCGCCTCCGCCTCCTGCGGGGACCCGCTTCGCCATACAAGGGAAGCCATGGAAACTCCCGAAGTTGGCGGCCAGCCGCCTCCTCCTCCTCCTCTTCTTCTTGCCCCTCCTCCCCCTTCCTCTTCCCCCTCTCCTCTTCTTCCTTTCCTTCTCCCTCCTCTTCCCCCTCTCCTCTTTTCCTTCCTCCTTCTCTTCTTCCCTCTTCTTCTTCCTCTTCTTCCCCTTCTCCTCTTCCCCGCTCTCCTCTTCTTCCTTTCCTTCTCCATCCTCTTCCCCCTCTCCTCATTTCCTTCCTCCTTCTCTTCTTCCCTCTTCCCCTCCTCCTCTTCCCCCTCTCCTCTTCTTCCTTTCCTTTTTCCTTTTCTCCTTTCCTCCCCTCCCCCTCTTCTTCTTTCTCTTCTTCCCCCTCTTCCTCCCACTTGTCTTCTTCCTCTTCCTCTTCTTCCTCCCGCTCCCCTCTTTTTCTCTTCTTCCCCCTCCCTCCTCCCCCTCACTCAGGTCCTGCGTCACCGGCTCCCTCTAGGGCTCTTGCAAAGCGACCGGACCGGATGGAGCTGGCCACCCTCGCCCCACTGCGACCCCCTCCCCAAACAGCCGCCCTCCGACTGCTGAGAGCCTCCCCACGCCTTGCTGGGGGGTCTCGTTGGCCGCCGAGGGACCCCAACCTGGGGGAAATCATCGGGGGACGAGGAAAGCAGTTCTCCTGCTCCTCGCCGGCCCTGCACGTGTCTTGCCCGGGCGGCCGGTTCACACGGGCACGGGAATGGAAATCCAGGGAAGGGGGCTTCCCGGACCTGGGGGACGGAAGGAAAGGGGTCCCCGATTTCCCTAGTCAATTTCGCGGGGATCTGGGTGTTCAGCTCCGGCAACTTTGCTGGCATATTTTGTCGGAAGGCTCCTTCCCACCGGCGGGTTTCTCATCTCCGCGGGAGAGATCTTCTTCCCAAAGGAGGCAGGGAGGGTTTCTGACGTTCTAGATCACCCTGATGTTCTAGATCCTGCCCACCCACCCCTCCCAACCTGGACAGGAGTTGGGTGCCAACGAGGCAGCTTCCTAGGGGAAAGGAGAATTCCCTTTCCAAAATAGAAAGATTTCAATTCTTCCCTTCTTGTGCAAGGAAAAACCTGCAGTTTGGCCACCTGGCAAGTGGCAAACCGGGATCTGACCAGGATGGGCAAGGGTGGGACTAAAACTTCACTTGCTGCATGGGGCGTGAGCAAGAAGAGATCATAGGGACGGGATTCCTTCCTGGGGGTGAAGCTATTCCCTTGTTGGAGGTTGGCCAAGTGCAGGCCAGGATGTGCCAAGCTTCCCTAGCCAGATTCATAGACTCACAGGGCTCTTGAAGGTGTTCTAGTCCAACCCAGGCCAAAGACAGAAAGTCTTTCAATCAACCTCGACAACAAATGAGTGTCCGATGTTTTTTGTTTTTTTTTCTGGGAAACTTTCAGTGATGGAGCATGCACAACTCCAGGAGGCAAACTAAGCCATTGATAAATCATTCCGGCTGTCAGGAAATCCTTCCTCGTTCCTAGATTGGACCTCCCTCTGAGGAGCTTCCACCATCCGCTGCTTCTTGTGCTTTGGAGAATAAGTTGACCCCTTCTTTCCTGCGACAACCCTTCAAGGATTGGAAGATGCCTCATGTCCCCCTAAGCCTTTTTTTCATTATGCTGAACATCCCTCCCTGGCTCCCTCCATGGTTTCCTCATATCAGTAAAGAATTCATTCATTCATTTTATACAGTTTTGCCTTTATCATCTCTGTGACACTGGTCCCAAAGGTGTGTGGGTTGTTTTTTTTCAAGGGGCAACTGGACTTTCTGGGGTTTTTTTTTTTTTTCCTTTGAAGATGATTCACTTCTCATCCGAGAAGCTTCTTCAGCTCTGACTGGAGGGTGGGGAAGGGAAGGATTGATACTCCTTGCAGATGGCTGGTCATTTGCAGCATTTTTAGAGAGACATTGAGGCCACTTGTCTGTGTCCTCAGGGTCACCTGAGTGGTGCAAATGGGCGTGGCACCTTCTTGGAACTGCTGAAAGGACTGTGTTGTTGACTGGAGAAAGATAATGTTGTATCCCTCCCTCTCTGTTGAGGGAGGGCTGTTCAGTTTGGACACAGGTGGCCTCTTTGACCCCTCTGTCAAACCAGAGGCCCTCTCTGTCCAAAATGTGGACTTAACTATCTGACCCTGACTACACAGACAAAACTCCAAGGGGCCTCAACGACTCTCTAAAAGAATGCAAATGGTTTTTAAGAAGAGACTAGTCACTTATCTGAAATGGTATAGGTCCCCTGCTAGTCACTAGTCACTTTTAAGAAGAGACTAGTCACTTATCTGAAATGGTATAGGTCCCCTGCTAGTCACTAGTCACTTTTAAGAAGAGACTAGTCACTTATCTGAAATGGTATAGGTCCCCTGCTTGGGCAGGAGGCTGGACTAGAAGACCTTTAAGGTCCCTTCCAGCTCATTCTATTCTATTCTATTCCTACTCTATTCCTATTCTATTACTACACTACACTACACTACACTACACTACACTACACTACATTACACTACACTACATGCTATCTATTCTACATGCTATTCTATTCTATTCTGCATTCTATTATTCTATTCTAGATTCTCCAGCTTGAGCAGGGGGCTGGACTAGAAGACCTCCAAAGTCCCTTCCCGCTCATTCTATTCTGTTCTGTTCTGTTCTATTCCGTTATTCTGTTCTATATTATGTGCTATTCTATTCTGTTCTATTCTACTATATTCTATATGCTATACTATGCTTTGCTATGCTATGCTATGCTATGCTATGCTATATGCTATGCTATTCTATTCTATTCCTATATTCTATTCTACTCTATTCCTATATTCTATTCCACTGGTGGTTTGTGAGAAAATTTTGGTGGTTCCCAGAGAAATGTCACCCCCAAAGCAATTAATCCAGGCTGCGCGGGAACACAAGGCTGCTTTCCTTTCATGAAGCCAAAAGTCTCTCTCCCCAGAGAACGGAGCTGGAGACGGTATCCTGCGATCCCAAATAAAGAATGATTGGTCAGTAGGAAAATGGGTTTGGAAGTTTTCCTGCAGACTTTTTTTGGGATTTTCCCAGGGTCTCTGGTCTGTGGGATTTAAAATTATGAGTTTGGTTGTCCCTGAGGTCCGAAAGGTTGGAGACCCCTGTTCTATTCTATTCTATTCTATTCTATTCTATTCTATTCTATTCTATTCTATTCTATTCTATTCTGTTCTATTCCGTTCTATTCCGTTCTGTTCTATTCTGTTCTACTCTATTCTATTCTATGTGCTATTCTATTCTACTTGCTATTCTGTTCTGTTCTGTTCTAAGCGGTGTTCATTATTCTTAGCATGCACACATGCACACACACACACACACACACACACACATGCCTTGGCTTACATTCATTTGCTTGAACATTTGTTGAGAACAATCAGAAGAACTTAAGGTAAAACGTCCCACGTGGTTTGAAACATTAAGAGCGTGTTACCACAATCTTCTAAGCCCATTCGGGTAAGCTGCTCACAGAAGCTGATGTGCTGGACTTTAAAATGGCTCACTCAGACGAGCACCTGTGTCCACTTCAATACCTCCCCAATCAGATATTATTCCCCTAGGTCGGCGAAGGAAAAAGGTCATCTAAAGACGCTTTCTTACGTACGTATTTCGGAAATGTACAACTCAGTTTTAAATGCAGATGGAATAGCCTGCCTTATGCAGAATGCAACTGTCTCTAGATTCCTCATCGCTTTAATAAATTTTGCAAACACAAATGGCAAATAATATTTGGAAAAGTGACATGGAAAGACAGCACAATAATCAAGATAGAGGGAAAACACACACAATATCCAGAAGTCCCATGATGAAGCAATGTGCCATAAAGCTTGGGGGTGATTTTTCAAAATGCTGTGAGGATAAGGGAGAAATTACTCCTAGGGTACAGAAAGAGCTGTAATGTCAGCCCCAGCTGAGCTTCTCTGGGACGTGAGTGTCAATCCATCAGTTCGCCACCACAGGGCCATGAACAAAATAAAAATAAAACCGCTAACAATAGAAGACAAAAATCACCATATCCGTCAGTGAGTCTGCTGGCTTCGTGTGGCTTGATACAAAACAGAGGAAGAGTGCCATTCACTCACTCGATCAGAATAGAGATGGAAGGGACCTTGGAGGTCTTCTAGTCCAACCCCCTTCTCAAGCAGGAGACCCAGGACCATTTCAGACAAAGGGTTGTCCAAACTCTTCTTACAAACCTCCAGTGATGGAGCAGCCACAATTTCTGGAGGGAAGCTGTTCAACTAATTAATTGTTCCTAACTCGCTGTTAGGAAGTTTCCTCTAAA